GCGCCACTATTGTAGGAGAAGAAGAATGCAGAAGAACTTCTGGTCACCATCTTAAATGTCTGTATCAAATTAACTTATTCCAAATGTCTTGATATATAAAAGTGTAAAATAAATGATTTTACAGTACACACTGTGGCATAATAAAAATGAGTTTAGTATGCTTCAAAGTACTTTATGATACAAAGATATTTGGAAAACCTACCATGACAGTCTTGAAAGGATATGACCACACTCCTTTGTTTGTTGACCCAGATTAAAGACTTGATGTCACCTCCACCACTCTTTTTGTTGTTTTCAAAGTAGAGGGTAAGAGCTTCTTCTGTAAGTTTGCTCATATCCCCCTGTACCAGAACTGAATCTGTGAACTCTAAGTGAGTGGCTTCAATCTCCATGCTATTCAGGTTTTTGGCTGCACACTTCTCAATGAAAGATTTTGAATCTGGAAAAATAAAAGGTAAAAATTATATTAATTTCTTCAATTGGATTGTAACGTGTAAGGGATTTTGCTGGATTTCTCATAAGCTCCTGCGACCACATATCTTCATATGATGACATTCAGCATCCCTGTGCCCTATAGATAATTTTTCTCAAGGTAGAACCAATGTCTTTAAACAAAGACATATTTTCTTGCCATCTAGTCTTATCAGTAGCATAGTCCCGGTCTTGGATTTTAAAAAAGACAGTCAACCTCTGTAAACATGTTTTATAAGAGAAGCAAAACTGACATGGTTTATTCATTTTCCTTCTACAGGGCCTGGGTGTGGCCTGGATATAGCTCTGACTGGAGCCGACAAAGGGGAATCTTTTTAAGGTGCTCAGTTTTCCTCAACTGGCTACTCTCAGTTTGGAGGAGCAGCACCTCTACTTTGACACTCTCCTAAATTGCTGAGCTCCTCATCACAGAGACTAAGCCCAGAAAATTATCTCATAAATAATGACAAATGATCTCACAATCTTGTTTCACGTCACTTGTGAATAAGATCCTAAGATACTTAAACTTCTCCACCAGGGGGTAAGGTCTCTCCCCCAGCTAATGGGAGCATCCTACTCATGCCTAGAATAGAACCAAGCCTCATTTGAAGGTGCTGATTTTCATCCCAGCTACTTCACACACAGCAGTGAAATGTTTGAGTGTTTGTTAGTGATCCACTGTGGATGGTGCCAAGAGAACATCATTTGCAAGTGACGGGGATGTTACCTCTACTCCTCTACCCCCTTCCCCCAACTGGATTGGTTTAGGATGCTCCCATGACCCCTTATAAAGCTGTGCAAGAGTAAAGAGCTAATCTACTCTTCTGCAGCCTGGGCAAAACCTCCCAAATCCTAGGTTCCTCCTGAATCCTATTTTAAACTATTGGATGGAGTCTCCTCCCCAGAATCCTGCCTTAGACTTTTCCTAGGAGGCTGAGTAGTGTGATGTCTCTATAATTGGAAAAATAGGGACCACCTAGTATGCCAGTCCAAATGCACGGCCCCAGATCTCCATGCAACATTAAAGGCATGTTTACCATGCAACCCCAACTTATTCAGTACTGAACAAGGTTTCTAACTGCCATAGTAACCTCAAGACACTAGAGATTTCTGGAACTGCCTCATGAAGGGTGGGCATGTCCAGTGGGTTTAGGAGTTCCTCAAAGTGCTTCCTTCATCTCTCAACAATATCCCCAGGTCAACACTTCCCCTCACTTCTCCCCCACCTGAGATTGTGGCCACCCCTTATCCATGGGCTCTCCAAACTCCTTCCATGTCTGAGCTTTAACGTCTGCAACTGCTCTTGCTACAGCCCTTTTGGGTCTCTTATACCATATCTCTTATACTATTATAAGGCTTCTTTCTTCAAATTGATGGCTTAGTTTACTGCCATGACAGGTACTGACTTCCAGCCACAGCTTCTTGCAGGTGCCTCTATGATTGTGGACTTAAATATGATCCCCACACACAAACAAAGAGATTCATAAAATTCATTATTGACCTTTGTCTCAAGGTCAAGGTTTTTGCTCTGGTACCTAGTGCTTCCTGGTTACACATATTGTTTAGCAGTATTGTGTTGAAAGTGTTTTTTAGTGACTATCCATAGTAAGTTCCAATCTGGGAAGCTGTTCCTTCCAATCATGCCACTTCAAACATACATTTAAATTACACAAGAATTTACACAAAAAATACTGTTTTGTTTTGGCCATCTTGGTGTCCTAATTTTAACCCTATCACTAACCTGTGTTCTGAGTTGCAGAATGAAGTTTGCACACAGACTTAAGAATCTAAAGAAGACTGAAGTGTCCTGCATTCAGGAGTGGACCAGTCAGTCCACATTTAAAAAACAATAACTGTTGACCAAAGTGCCATACAATTAAAGCAAATAAAAAAAGTAAGAATACTACATTTAAACAAATTCAAAAGCTGAAAGACTTAACATGGAGTGGCAACTTATTCCCAAGCCTAGCTCCTGCAACTGAAAAGGCTCTATCACCCTTCACTTTTAATCGTGATCTAGGGACCAAGATCTCCTACAAGTGTCTCCAACCTTTTTACACATGATGACAGAATGAGAATGATAATTTTGAAATGAGTGCTTTGCAGAAAAAATACAATGCTTAAGAAAACTTTTTATGTTTTAAAAAATATTGTGTCCAGTCATAAATCCCCTGATCATTAGTTAATTGGAAACAGAGCAGAATTTGGTAAAACTTATACAAAACTGTTTATTTTGGCTCCTAAACTCACCTATGTCTTCCTTGAAGGTGACCACAATTCTCTCATCATCTACTATCTCCCAGGTGTGTGCTGCCTTTTGACTGCAGCTCCCAATGAACATGGTAATTAATTTGCATTTGCAGCTGTCTTTAAACCCAGTAAGGATGAAGCGCCGAGGGTCCCACTGCTCTGAAACACATGCTTCTTTATACAACTCCACCGTCAGCCCGAATTCATGTTTCTTCTGGCCCAGAATAGTCAATAAATCTAAAGAAAAGCATCAACATTTTTAGGGTCTATGGTGTATTGCTGTTATTATAATTCATTTTTACTGTATTTCATTGTATGTGATTCATAGTTTCTGTGTGATCTTAAGCAACAGTAAGTTTTGGATCTGTTCAAGATATAAAGAGATAAAAAAGGGTTAAAATTTACCTGACTGATTGGCTACTTTTAGGATCCACTTGTTTTTTCCATATTTTTTTATTTCAGCCTTCTCTGTAAACTGTTCAAAGTACAATGTAAGAATATCTTTATCAACTGACTCCATGGTGCTGATAAGCAGGTCTTTGGTTTTTGAGTGCTCTTCATTTCCTGAAATACAGAAATCATTTCATGATGGACTTATTTATCAGCTTACTTTTATAGCCTTTATGTAGCACATCATTAAACTTTACATATTATGAAGTGAATTGCAGTACCTTTTTGAACTTTAGAGCCAGACTTCTTATATTACATGTAAAATACAAAAAGATACACAAAACAAATAGATTAGGCCTCTTAACCACATGATGAGCCTAATGAGTAAATAAGCATAACCATTTATGTAATGATTAAATAAACAGAACCACTTCCTCATTCTTCACGTTTACAAGAAGAGTCTCAATATTACTTTAAAGCCCTCAGAGTAATGCACACACAGGCCTAACTGGAACAACAAGAACAGAAATGCTTCTGAAGATCATGAGCAGCCCTGACGCAAAACACCAGCTATTGGTTGCACTGGTTGCAGAGTGATTAAAAAAAAACAAAACCAAAAAAACTCACCTGTACACCTGCAGTGGCTTGCGAAGATCTGACGTGTTCAAGAGTTTCTATCTTTGGTCTTGGTAAAAGAGGCGGTTTCACCTTTTCTTTCTTGACATTCAAGGGTTTCACTGTCAGTTCAACAACTCCCTGGGCTTTGAAATCAATTTTGTGCGTTCCTTGTTTAAGGACATTGTCTAAATCTGGAGTTTCAAAAAAAGAAAGGCATTTAATTTCCCCCCAAATTAAAGCAAAGTAATTAATGTAAGCGCAAAAAGACATAAAAGAGAATACAGACATACGGGAGACATAATTATATCATAATTATTTACTGCTTTAGCATTTCTAAACTATTAATTTCCACATTTATAACCAGTAAATAACTGTAACAAATTAACTGATGTTTGTTTAAATGTAATTTAAATAACCAGATTGTATGAATCTATGTATAGTCAGGATTATAGGTTCTGATTATACCATGGTTATAGTTTAAGTGCAGACAAAGCAGAATTTTTAGGTCAATTCATAAATTTGCTGGTCGTACATACATAAATAACTTGTGGAAGTTTTTATTAAATGATCATGCCTATTCCATCCAGGACTAAAAATAAACCCACATACTGGAAATTGGCATAAATTTAATCATGTTAGGCTGCTAAATATTTATGGACTGTCACTGGGTGTAACTCTCAGAAATCCCCCATTCAGTTTCACTTAAGTCCTGAAATGACCAAGAACATATTTACTTCATATTGTGAATGAATTTTTAGTCATGAATGGAATACATATTGATTAATACTTGCTAATTAGTCAACGTTTAAACAAACATTAACATTAATTAAAACAGGTGGCATTGTACTTGTGGTTTATTGGTGCTAAAGTGCAATACCTGGCCTGTTTACCGTAAACCACTGCAGGAAGTGTTGAGCAGTAAAAGGTGTAGTGTTTCTGGATATGCAAATGATCAAATTCAACAATGTATGTGTTTATCTACTTGAAGTTCTTAATTATAGTCCATCTACCCATTTTCTGTACTGCTTATCCTACAAAGGGTCACTAGGTAGCCTGGAGCCTATCCCAGGGGGAATTGGGGCACAGGGTGGAGGACACCCTGGATGGGGTGCAGAGCACAATTACACACATTGTGGACAATTTGGAAATGCCAGTCAGCCTACAATGCCTGTCTTTGGACTGGGGGGGGGGGGGGGGGGGGGGGGGGGGGGGGGGGGGGCCAGGGTGCCCAGGGGGGGCTTCCAGGGCATGGGGAGAGCATACAGGTGCCACGCACAGAGGTGGGACTTGAACCCCAAGCCCTTGGCGTGCGAGGCAAGCGTGCTAACCACTAAGCCACCATGGCCCCCCTTAATAATAGTCCTAATATTAAAATGAATTGTAATTTGGTACCTGTTTCTTGGAGGTAGATGAGCAGGGCTTTCCGCTTGTCCTCGGGATGTGCTCGGATGTGCATGACCTCTCCGCCAGATTTCCTCTTGTTTTTAAAATAAAGCTCTAGTTTGGTTCTCACCAGGTCTAAATCCCCTGGTAGACCCTCAAGGACCAGCGTTTTGTCGTCCATTGCTGTGAAAGTAGCGCTAGAGCGGAGCTGATAGACGCGTCATTGAAGTAAATCAGCGAAGTGATAAAGTTAAATGGGAAAGCCCGAGTTTTTGTACACACGAACTGCTAGTGTTGCTTTCAGTTTCGCTTCAGGGCGCTGAGCTTGACTTCCGCGAATCGCTTCACCTTCTCACACAGGCAACACAGTGAAGTGGACATTATTTCGAAATATTTCCTCTGTTAATGTTGTGTTTGTGTGTTTTTTTTTAAGAGTTAGTTCTCATCATGTCGTCTATGGAGGAGCAGATAAACAGAGAGGTAAGCTCAAGTGCTTGCTTGTAGAGTGGAACCAGCTTCAGGTTGCTTAGAGCTCGAAAACAACGACCAAGCGACACCAAACCTTAATATTTGTATTTATATTTAGTTTATGTGGTCATTCTTTTGATAGTAGACAGTAGATATAATCCATAACGTGTATATTTTTTGGTTTCTAGGTCGCTTAACATAGTCGTTTGTTAGCCTTTAATAGCTTTGTAATGGTGGAACGCCTGAGGTGGAGCTCTGAGGTGATTTATACTTGGCTTATACACTGTTTTAATAGAAGATAGTATACTGTAGATATTTCACTATATAGTCAGTAATGTCACTAATGCAAACTTGTTGACAAGTAGCCTAGTTTTTAAGAAAATATCACAACAATAAGGCAGTTAGAAATTCTCAAACATTTATTGATTAACCCAGTAATTAGGAAGCTGAAAAATAGCCTAGCATCTGGCAAAGATGCTCTGCTGCCATTTTGTTTTGGCAGCTGGTAGCTGGTCAGACCAAACTACACTTTCTTCTTCTTCTTCTTCTTCTCATTATTATTATTATTATTATTATTATTATTATTATTTTTAGCAGGTATATTTTCTTTATAATGAGTTTCTTTCGAGCCAAAAACATCAAAACAATTGCTCTTCTTCCATTTTGTCAGTCAGTCAGTCACATTTATTTATAAAGCACATTTAAAACCAAAAACTGTTCACCAAAGTGCCTTACAATTAAAGCAAATAAAAATAAAAGTAAGAATACTACATTTAAACAGACTCAAAAGCTGAAACAAAGAGGTGTGTTTTGAGACGTGATTTAAAAACCTCAAGAGCTGGTGAAGACTTAATGTGGACTGGCAACTTATTCCCAAGCCTAGCTCCTGCAACTGAAAAGGCTCTATCATCCTTCACTTTTAATCGTGATCTAGGGACCAAGATCTCCTACAAGTGTCTCCAACCTTTTTATACATGATGACAGAATGAGGCTCAATGTTGTTATTCTCCCCAGGGAGCCTCTCCAGATATTAACTGATGGAGTGATGATAATTGTGAAAAGAGTGCTTTGCAGAAAAAATGCATTGCTTAAGAAAACTTCGTGAGAAAAATTGTGTCCAGTCATAAATCCCCTGATCATTTGTTCATTGGAAACAGAGCATAATTTTGTAAAACTTATAGAAAACTGTTTATTTTGGCTCCTGAACTCACCTATGTCTTCCTTTGGGAACTGGATAGTGGTTATGACGATGTGTGTGAGACGATGTGTGTAACTGTGTGAGAGATTTGGTGTTGTTTGGTTGTTTTGGTGGCCCATGTTAAGCCATAAGTTGTTTGTTAGCCTATAATACATTTGTAATAGGGAAACACTTAATGTGGAACTCGATGCTTTATACTTAGCTTATTGGCTTATTTTTTTTAAGTCATGTCACTATATGTCAGTAGTTAGGACACTGTTTTAACACATTAAGGGTTAATTACTTTCCCCTGTTGAAAAATTCAGCTTGGTCTGACCAGATACCAAAACACAGACCAAGCTGTTCAAACTGATAAAGTGCTGGTAGAATGGAAAGTTTCCGAACTACCGCTACTAATGCAACCTTTTTGACAAGTAGCCTAGTTTTTAAGAAAATAACAACAGTAATGCAGTTACAAAATCCCAAACATTTATTGATAAATCCAGTAACTAGGAAGCTGGAAATTAGCCTAGCAGCTGGCAAAGATGCTCTGCCATTTTGTTTTGGCAGCTGGTAGCTGGTCAGACCAAAATGGATTTTTTTTTAGCAGGGATGTTTTCTTTAAAATGAGTTTCTCTAGAGGCAAAAACATGAGAATTATTTCTTTTTTTTCATTCTGCCCTTTGGGAAGTGGATAGTGGTTATTACAAGGTATGTGTGTGAGAGATTTGGTGTCATGGCTTAACGTAAGCCACGTTTGCCTCGACGCTTTAAAATTCTTTTTCTTTATTTATTATTATTATTATTATTATTATTATTATTTTTATCTATTAACCATTTCTTAACATGTTTGCCTTTCTACTGGTTTTCCAAGCAGCCTGTTCAACAGCCATCCAAAGACCAGCAGCTGAGTGATGCCAAGGAGGAGCTGGAGAAATGGAAAGTGCGTTTTCATCTACATCACTTTTTCATTTAGCTTTTCCACCAAATTGGACCATTCGTTATGTTTGCATACTCAGAATTTAGTCATGTGTCCACTAGATTTGTGTGAATTCCGCTAGAGCAGTTTGTCAGTTATTTATAGTTTAATCAAGAAAGTACCACGATATAAAAAAATATAAATTAAAATTAATAAATTATGTTAATGACATTTTTAGTACAGAATCTACTAAATTTTTTTTGAGAAATTCCTCTATAATAAGCGTCTAAATAGGGATAGGAAGGCACATGTAAAATTTCATGAATACTGAATACTGATTTTTGGTTCTGAACAGAGAAAACTGAAAAAAAAAACCAAGTTTAAAAATATAAATGATTTCATTTATTTCCACACTATTAGGTGTGGTTTATAAGATTTTAAAAGAAAGTTGACATGTATATCATAATGGCTTATAAACTGAAATATATAATTAGGAAACAAGTTTTTTAGGGTTATAGGACATGACATGAATTTGCCATGTGGGCAGAGCTAAAGCAGTGTTTGCGGGTGGAAAAAACTAGTGAAATTAAATGTGAAATGCATTTTTTTTTACTACAGTTTAACAGTAGACATGTTGCAGTTGCAACTTATTACCTGAAAATTGATGTGATTAATGTGACCAAAGTAATTTCTACCTGTAGTGTCTTAAAACAAGCTTGCTTGTGCTGAAGATAACACATCAGATAACTAATAGCAATGTGATGTTTAAAGTTATAATGACAAGAGATAAATATGTCAAGGTAAAAACTATTTTTAAAATTAATTTGTGACAGTTTTTATTTAATTATTTTATAGTAGCTTGGTTCTTACAAGGCTTGGGATTATTATTATTATTATTATTATTATTATTATTATTATTATTATTCACTCTCTACTAGAAATTAGTAGAGGTTGCAGATACAGAAAAATCCAGGTTGCTTCTGGAGAAAATGGATACGGATGAGGCAAAGAAAAAAGCCCAGCAGGAGACCACAAATGTGCTGAATGCTGAAGAAGAACTTACAGCCAGATTCCACAAAACAGTGAAGGATATACAGGTATGCTGGATACCTTAATACTACACATTCTTTTATGTCTGTCTATGATTTGTTTACGTGGCGTTTTACTTCATGGTTATAATTTTGGGTTCATGCATGTTGTTACGAAGCACCTTTTAATTTAGGCATGTTCTGATATTTTTGTTCATTTGCTGCTTGTTGTTTTATTTCATTGTCATTACTGGCATTTTAAAGGTTAATTTTTACAAAAGGTTTGACACAAACATTTATTATTATTATATAAAAGCTTAGTAATATACACAAAAATATGTAAAAAAAAAATATTAACACTGTCCATGGAAACAGTGTAAATACAGTCACAATCATGATGAAATTTGATCTTTATTCATTTCAATCATATACAAATGGAGACTGCATGACTAAAGTCATATTTCATTTACAACTATACATCTATTGCTGTTGCCTCACTTACTTGGTAATTTAAGACAATTCATTCTCTTTTAGGTGGAAATAAATAATATTACAAAAGCTAACCAGGATCTGCAGAAAAAACTACAGCATTATAAGGAGCAGCTCAAATCTAAGAAGTCAGAAATGGACAATTTGCAACAGAGATTTAAGGTACTGACTGGTTGTGGATCTGTGCTGGGGATTTTAGTTGGTTGTGTTGTAATAAACTAGAACAACACAAGAGGGCAGTACAGAACTGTAATTATATAACTTATTAATTATAATAAGTTCCGACTTCATAAACAACTGTGTTACAAACAATAACCAAAACTGAGTATTATGATCGATGGTGTAAATGTATTTTCTCAGATCAAAGCTCAGATCCCAGAGAAAAGAATGAAATATACTGACATCGAACAAAATGAGGAAGATGAGAGTGATGAGCAAGAGCATGCTGATCAGGATATCAGGGCAGTGTTCACCATCATCCAAAGACCCTCCTTTGTGTTGAAGGGTGGGGAAGCTCTCATCACGTTTGAGGAAGAGAAAGGTAAAGTCTGAAACAGCATCATCTTTATAGAAACATAGAACATAGTAGAACAGATTTTTAGACGCTTTACTGCAATAGACAATATGAATTATGTAATTGCTAGTTGTTGCTGTGGAGACTGAATGTGGTGTGAAATTTTAATATCCAGTTCACACACATACATCTGATAAAAGACTTCTGCCTGAAACATTCCACACGTTGTGTTTTTACAACATCTACATATCAAAACAGCTACAATCACAGATATTTACAGACAGCTCCTCTGTTATAGGAGCCAGAAAATCCCCTGGTAGACCCTGGCAGTGGTTAGAATACCTCAAACGAATGTATATCAACTCGT